CCAGCACGTGCCAGGCACTGTTCACCTGCCTGCCTTCCCCCATTACTGCTCTCCCTGTGGGCACCTCCCCTTCTGGGGTAAATCAAGGTACCCTCCTCCTCGACCATCTGGGACACCTGGGAAGTGGCCTCGATGCCTCTGAGCCTCAGTTTCCCATGGATGGCGTGGGGATGATAAAGCTCAGAGCATTTACACAGCCATCCAGACAGGCCCAAAGGTGGGAAAGGCAGCCGTTTGCACCCCACACTGCAGGGCCGCCCCCTCCTCTCTCACTCCCCAGAGGGCCTCTCTGCACACACCCTGGACCTGCCCCTGATAACTCACCCCCCAGGGAGCAGACACCCCTCAGGAGGTCTTCCCTGCTGCCCCCAGACTCCTAATCTGCTCAACACTTCAAAAGCCCCCGCCGTGTGCCAGGCACTGTTCAAACACCCTAGATGTGCTACCTGCATCCTTACCCCAATCCTGGGAGGCGGCTCAAGGATTACCCCTATTTTACCGATGTTGAAACTATGGCCCAGAGAGCTAACACCAGTTCGCCTGAGGTCACCGAGCTAGGAAATGGCTGAACCCAGGAAGGCCATCTCCTAAGTCAGTGCCCAAGCCGGGCTGCTGGCCTCCCCTTTCATTCCAACAAAGCCCCGCCCTCCCAGGGCTGACCAGCGCCATTCTCCCCTCAGCACCCAGGACAGGACAGGCGCCCAGAGGGAGCTCTGTCACCATCTGTGCAATGCCCCAATGCAGGTGATTATCATCCCTTGGTCCTGAGAGGCAGGTGACACCAGCCTGGGGCAGAGGGTGTGACAGGATTGTCCATCGGGCATGTCTGCCCCCGACGAACCATCTGCAACCCCAGCCTGGTTTCCTCAGAGACCCAGAGGGGCTTCCTTGGCTCAGCCTCATAAAATCACCTGTGCCCAATGCCTGGGAACTCACTGGGTTCACGACGGAAAGCTGGTCGCAGATGAGGGCCATCTCTCCACCACCTCTGTGGTCCCGGCTGCTCCTCACACCAGCCAGGCAGTTCTCTGCACTGGGAAGGACTTTACTATGAAACATAAAAGAAAACTATATGGCAGTTATTCAACGGGGAGGAGCCAGGAGCAAGAAGACATACATTTAGAGAAAGAGAAAGGGAAAGTGCTGGGGGATAAGGGGCCAGGATGGAGCTCAGGAACAGGTAAGCAGACATTCCAGTGACTTTTCCTTCCTCTCTGTATCGTGTTCGGTTCGTGTACAGGATCTCAGAGTCTGGCACCTGG